GCACTGTAAGAGCAGCCAAAAAATAAAGCACAACTTATAAATCGTAACTAAAGTTGAATACATAAATAAAATAAAATAAAAATATACACTATATAATAAGGTACACAATGTTTAGCACATGATTTAAGCACAAAGGTTAGTTGGATTAATATCTGCCATACCTCCTGTGGAGGTATCCATGCAGGTGGGTTCTCATAAGAAGGCAGGAATACCACTGGCAGCTGGTAATCGTCGTAGGGAATTTTCTGGTCCATGGTTGCTAAAATTCCCCACCGAGAAGAGAATAGCAGTTCATTGTTATGAACTACGGATGCACTGGACTGCTTGATACAAATTAAAGGGAAATCCCTGAAATCCAGACCGCTGATTTAAAGGGCTCAGGTGTCTCTATTGTGTTGTGGTTTCGGACACGTAACTTCAAGTCAATATGTCAGTACCTATTCCATGACTGCAATGCCTTCATTCACCGGGGTTTGGCATTAATGTACCCACATTATTACACCCGGTTTTGTATGTATCATTTTTAGATAAGGCATAAAGACCAGAGAAGACCAAAACATCAGCTAAAACACAGCTGCGTTCACAACTCTGTAACAGGTTAGCCACCAAGTCCGAATAGGGACGTTATATGGCTAACACTTAGAAATACCTTTAAAAAATACGCATGTGGATCACGGAGAAGAAGCGAGATAAAATAAACGTGTGAAATGATCTCACAGTGGACAGTTTCATACAGCAATAACATACAAACGCATCACGAGCTAGCACAACGATTAGCTTACTGTTTAACTGTAAACGAGCTCGCTCCGCTCTATTAAACGGGAAGCGCTTTGACACGCGTTATTATTATCACAGGAACTTTAAAATAACGGTACTGGAATCATTTAGCATTGAAAAACATGAATGACTGCAACAAAACAACAAAAATGTATCTCACCTGCCAGTCAGAGGGCTAGCAGTGTGAACTTGTTGCTGTAAGCAATTGCAGGCAGCTATAGTGCGTTATCGCCACCTCCTGGTGTGGAGTAGTTACTTCAAGAGGTCCGACAGCATTGTGGAGTATTCGCCTTTTGAACAGCTACAAAAGTCAAAGCGCGTAAATTCGTGTATTTGTGACTCGAGAGGGCGCAATTGAACAGTTTTATTCACTGATTACAGAGGTCCTAATCACAGAGTTGAAGTTGTAAGTAGTTTAAAAAAAAGTGAATAATGAGTAAAAATTTACATGACAATTTTTTTGTAATATTTACTGCCATTGCAATTCTTTTTTAAAAACGTGTGTGAAAAAAATTACAAGGTAAAAAAGAAAATCTACATACTCTCACATTTTATCCTACAAGTGCTCACGTTTTGCAGCATATTGACCTCCTGAAAGCTCTTGCAGATGGAGATCTTAATGGCGGCTAGCTGTAAAATCAACCATGAAGTAAAACACCTCGGTGATATCTTGCAGTCTGACCAAAAAAAAGTTTGCAGTTTCATAATTATCATTGCAGCAAAAACTTCTGTATTCATTGTGGTGTTAAGAGCTTGAAAAAAGAAGTTTCACCTCTCCTCCAAGGGCCTTCTTCAGTTCTAAAAGGTGGAGAGTCTCAGGTA